AGTACAGATAGACATACAAGTTGGGATACAACATCAGTTAGTAATTTAAGTCTGGTGTGATTCATTCAAATAAAAAATTAACAAAAAAAAAATATAAGATAACCATATAGAAATTTATACTAAATAAATCTGTTTTTAGATTCTAACTTTATCTTCAGTTATCTTTAATAAGTTATTCAAACTTATTTTAAAATGATTCAACTTTTTTGATTAATAATTAAGGTTGAGTTTATAACTATTTATTGTTTATAAAACTAAAGCAATTCTTAATCCTTTATAACGCCATTATTATTATTATTTATTTCAGGTAAAGCAATTTTTAACACATCGTATGCTTTAGATATTTCTCTAAGATCTTTTTCACCGTCTTTTGTTGCTTCTTTTCTAGGTAATCTTTACTATCTAATTTTAATCATTTCTTCAACTTTCTTATAAATAAATAGTGATACAATACTTAAGGATCTTTAAGGTTTAATCCAAACCTTCTTGAAGAATGAAGTTCTTATTATTCAAATGATTATTTATTTAGTAAAGAGCTTTTCCTTGAAGTTTAACTTCTTGGAGATAAAGGCGTGTTAGCAACAAAAGATCCTCTTTAAGTGTCCTTTTTTGGAAGAAACATTTATTACATAATAATTATATATAAATCATATGAAAAAAATGTATAACTTCTATAAAAACGTTAATATATTATTAACAAATCTTATTTAAGCATATCGAAATAGCTTTTTCTATTTAGGATAGTCAAGAAGATATTTTATATGATCAAATTTAATTCTAACTATAGTTAGTAAATTCTAATATCAAATTAATTATTAAACATCATTTTTTTTTCAATTACACTTTTTACATAATCTAAAAAGATGCTTTTATTATTTTTTCTGTAAACAAATTCTAAGAATTCTTTTCCTTCTTTTAAATTATTATTCAATAAACTGCCAGTAATTTTTTTCATTTATCTAAAATATAATTCAAGTTCTTTAATTGAAGGTAATCCTTCCTATTTTATATATATATTATTATTAATATTACAATTAAGTTTTCAGGAGGATGGCATTTAAAGAATTTAAGTATTTCGATTAAAATACCAAATACATGCAATTTTTCACTATAAATTAATCTCTCTATACATTTCAAATTTAGTCTTAACATCATTTTTCATCTAAAATACCAATCTATATATTATAATACTTTTTTATATTTCATTGGTGAAATCCATAGGTAAATGATCATTAAACACGTGTACTAAACATAACAATACTTATTCTGTATCTTTAGAATGTAATAGTACATCTAAAATTTACTGTAATGATTTTGTTAATTGATTATCATCAAATCCCAATGAACTGTTACAGATTTCAGATTAAGTTGCAGGCTATTTAAATAGATATTATAATAAATTTCAGTTGTTGTAGAATAAGAAAATTAATTTGTTATTAATACATAATCTTAATACAATGGCTAAGATAACTGAAAAGTTTTGTTGATTGATATTTATTAATAAAGTTTAATTGACTAGAGATAATTTAAGATCATTAACAAAAGCTAATTTATCTTCAGATATCTAAATTTTCATATTAATGAAGGAGAGTTGATGCTACATCAAAATATAATTATGTTGATGTTAATAAAATTTCTTACACTTATTTTATACATTCATTTCTTTTTAAATTTCTAGCTTAATCAAATAATGATGTTGTTTCAATAGGGGCTAATACATCTCCGATTTCTTAAAGATCAACGATTAAAATATCATTTTATTATTATTTATAGAGTTTTTAAACATCAATTATAGGTTTTTCATATATTTATTATTATTGTAATTATAAATATTATATACAGAAGAAAGCTGTTTAGTAATAGAATTTTATGTCTTTTTTACCTGATGGAGTTATTTCCAATCTTGAGAACTAAGTAAATAGAGTAAGAAGTTCAGCAGAAATAAAACAAGATGATAGATAAATGTTTAAGAATGATTCATATGCATCTTTAAAAGATGATGTTTTGTGCTTACAAAATATAAAAGGGAATGAAGAACGCTTATAGAAAAAAAATTAGTTCTCTTCTCAATGTAAATATGGAATAGGATAAAGAAAAATTACTGGCTTCAAAAAGAGTTTAAGATAACGCTTCCTCAAATTCATCTAAATAATTGAAAAATGAAGATTTATAGATGTAAAAGAATAGAGAGAGTGCAAGAAATTCAAGATAAAGAAAAAAGTTATATATTGGTTTATTGGAGAAAAAAGTTGAAGATTTAAATGGATAAATAGAAGGACTTAGATAATAAACAGAGATAAAATTTAAGCATATTCATCATATAATTGAAAATAATGCATGTTTCAAAGGAATGATTATAGAATAAGCACAAATATTTGATTAATTGTACAGTAAAGTTCCAGAAAACATTGAAGGATAAGAGATATAAGCATTACTTACAGATTCTTATAAATTAAAATTTAGTGCCACTGGTTTAAAAAGAAACCATTATGTTAGATATTGTTTTTAGAATATAGTCAGAATATTAATGGATGGTAATTATGGAACTTTATTATTCGTAAGTAATTGTCAACCAAAAAATTGTATATTTTTCAATAGATTAATCAGTTTAACCTCTAGAAGATGAAGAGCTAATGAAATTATTCTGAATCGGCTCATCATTATTTATTATGCAGAGATAATTGAGAAACAAATAAATAGGTACTGTCACAAAAATTGCTATAGCTGTGCATCCTATATTATTATTTTTAGTAGTTGTTTCAATATGTTTAAAATTGAATTAAGAATTTTTAATTTCTATTTTATTAGCATAAGCAGCTTGGTAATAACTTATTATTAAGACTCTTCATCTAAGATTAAATAGATTTAATTATTTAGAAGAATAACAATAAATTAGAAAGAGATTTGGACTTTCAACCTAAAAAAACAAAGAATCATCTTTATGGTATTTTTTTAATTATTTTTTAGGTATTATAGAATAATGCTTTTATTGCCAATTATTGTCTGTAAATTTATTAAGGCTCTGTTATTCTTGTTGTTGGGATTAAATAACATATTGAATAAAATGATGATTATTATACTGATTTAGAAAGTGAAGGATTAATAATGAAAAGTAATATGATATTGAGAAGATCAAAAGTTAGAACATAAAAATGGAAGACTTTTTCAAATCTAATAAAAAAGTTTTACATCCAACAATTACTTTATATTTCTTTTTAAGTGTTTTTTATGAATTTTATGCTATCTTTCTTAATTTAAGACCTTTTGATTTACTCTCATTTATCGTTAATTATTTTCAATATCAAGTATCAATTTATTCATTAATAATATGCTAATTACATGTTCTTTTCGTAATACTATATATTGGAAATACAATTATTTATTAGAAAGTGAATAGAGATAAAAGACTCTATGAACATGTAAAAAAGAATAGGAAAAACTTTAAATAGAAGGTAGAAAATGCTTAAGTGTTATGATATATTTATCTCTTACTATTATTATATTTTTATACTATAATAGTATGTCAGGAAAATTTGTAAATAAATTTATCGAGATGAAAGTAAATTAGTTTGGGTTGATTGCAAGATTAATCAATGCAATTAGAATTTATATTGAAAAAATTCATAAATCATATTAATATTGAATTTACTATCATGTAATCTACTAATAATGTTGAACAAAATCTTTTCAATATGTCATATTCTACCTAATATTCCATTCCATTATCATAAAGACATCTAAAAAGAAGTTTTCCTATTAAACAATTATGAGATTCTATATTCTCTACTATACTTTTTTTAAATTTGACTTCATGAAAATCCAAATCATATTGAGTCATTTCATTATTCAAAAAGTTATTTTCAACATACTAAACTTCAGCATCTTTTAATATTGGTATTACTAAAACACTACATCTATTTATTCTATTTAATGCAAGTTTCTCCAATTATAATTTTTATGTCTCCTGCTATATTTATTAGCTGGTTTTTACACTTGATTGGATTTTTGGTTCTTTATATAAAAATGATTTTAAGGGGTATCTTTCATATTATTCAGCCTATTTTTTTTATTCTTCTTCCATTATATTAGAAATGAATATTTCTCAGTCTTTTAATTATTATCATAATTTGATTAAGAAATAAGATTTTACAACCCTTACTTTTAAAAATTAATTTTTAGATTAACTATTTTAAAGTGAATCAATATTAGTAGCGAAAGATTTTTCTATGACATTTAATTGTTATGATTATGATTATGGTTATTTATTATTAACATTATGATTATGGTTATTAATATTATTAATATTATTAATAAATAATAAAATTATAACTTTTATTGAATATTAAGATATAAGTAAAATTTTAAGAAAATCAAGGTGATTAATCTTAATAATCAAGTAATTAAATTTATATGGAGTTTCCTAGATTTCATCTTACTCCTTAATTTATTCATCCTCTTCTATAATTTTTTATAGTTCAAAATAATCTTCTTCATCATCATTCATTTTCAATTTAACATTT